CAGGCGTGATGGAATAATCCTTCGCTATTTAGTTGTTGCTTCACATCGCACGTTTTTATTTTCTTTTCTGCTCATATTCAGACTTATTTTTTTATTTTATATTTTATAACTTGACTTCTTTCAGATTTCTTTCATCAAGTTTCAAGCTGTTTTCTTTGTTGGTCTCCCACCCTTACGTGGCAGGTGGTATTCTAGCATCTGTTAAAATAAATAAAAAATGTAATTAAAATGAATAATGAAGAAAAACGTCTTGTTGTGTTGGGTCGCTCTAATTTCAGCATAATGCTTTCAGCTTAATCCACATGTTAGCAAACTTTGGTGTGTCAATGAACTCTGTGTCTCATATTTCACATTTCGTCTTATCTTAAATATTTCTGTCTGGAGATTTTTGTTTTAATGTCATTCTATTGACCACAGTTCAAAGTGCAAGAAGTCGATACTTGTGTAATTTACAAATTTTATTTAAAAATTATTCTAAAGATATGTGTGGGTATAAAAATTTATGTGGAGAAAGATGAGTCGTATAAAAATAGCTCTTATAAACCTAAGTAGACAGTTAGCTTCGTAGATTGAAACCCCTACTGTTTAATGAGGTTTTTGAATTGAATGTCACGATAAGTCAGAAGATTCTTAAACTAAATTACTAGTCGCAACAAATAATTATATGCATGATTTCGAGGACTGGTAATGTGTTTGTTGTTTTAGCCGCAAAAATATTCCCCTCTAAGACCCAACTGTCGCGATTTGGATTTTAGTTGCCTCTTGTGACAGGGAAGCGTTGAACCCCTACCCCTCAGAGGTTAATATTGGTATAGTGAAAAGTAATCCATTATCAGAATTATACCAAATAAATACCGTTTTACTCGAAAACTTTCGCCATTTTGAAGTTAATGTAATTATGTCTCTCTCATAAAAACCCTAATCCCTATTTGCAATAAATTAAGACAGTTAGTTTTCTCAAACCCCTCTAGGGACCAATTCCTCGCCAGCCAAACCATTCACCATAGACAGAAACCGATGGTAATCACTTTTTGCTAGGTTTGGACTATAAGGTGGAAGTATAAAAACCTTCCAAACCAATTTCTCGGAGCTTCTGACAAGTCATTACCAATGTCTGAGGTCTGGCGTTGTTCTGATGAAACACAATTTAGCTCCTGTGAGCCAAAAACAGAAAGTTTCTCGTTGATTGTTACCTTCAGAGTTTGGCTGTAGGGAAACCTTCCTGGCCGTTAATGTTGGCTTGGAGACCGTAAGTACCGGCTTACTGCACTTCAACCATGATCTTTTCGGTTTGACTTTGTTGAAGTGATCCACTCTTCATCAGTTATCAGCTATTCGGAGATAAAATTTCGGTACCATGGAGTTTTTCTTCTTACCTTATGTGGCACCCATACATCGAGCTCGTTTGTGTATCCAGCCTTTTTCAAGTGGTACCAAATTTTTTTTTGTGCCATGTTTAGGTACTGGGCATTAGAAATAGTGCTCGCATAACGGTCAGACTCGACGATTTCCATTAATTTTTCGACATTTTCGATAATTTCTAAGCGAAATACAACGGCCGTCAGCTGTCTGACTTACGTTTTCGTTACAAAAAAAAATGGAAATTGTGAAACATAACGTACTTTTTCCAATCTAGTAATGTGCTCAAACACTACTAAGTTCAGTGATCAACACTGCTCCCGTTATATCTTTTAGTACAAAACATCGTCTTTCTAACGACATCTAGTGCAACCCAATCGCATTTATAGAACACGACATATACATCACTAAAGCTATCTATCTATTACAAAACTAATGGATGACTTCTTACTAGATTACTAATATTTTGGCTTTTAAGCCCAATTTAAATATGTAGCTATTTCGGCCTGCTCTATATTCACCTTTTATATATTCCAGCAAAACTAAAAGCTACCTTAAAACTTCTGAGATTGTCAAGTCTAGAGCTTGCGCAAAAACTGGCTTAAAATGTGCCTGCTCAATCTATATTTTCATACACACACTTTCATATTGTAATCGCTTTGCTTTATACTAAAAACTTCTCCAAACTCAAGTGTATAATCAGTTTTAGTAAAAAAAAAACAAAAAAAGCTGAGCGTAAGCAATTATTATTTCCATAGTATATTGACTTGTGGGTTTCCATGTTAACGACCTTTGCATGAGTCAACTTTAGACATACACGCGATGTCGTTTTGTCCTCGTCCTTCGCTTTTCGCCTTACTTTTCACGGCTTTTTAATGCTGATGGGTTTTTTTTTCATCAGCTGTTTCTTCGATCGCTACACGAGCAATGCTCGTAGAGCTTGTCTTATAACAAGCAATATGCTTTTGTGTATGTGTATTTTTGTAAGCACTGATGCTTTTACTTTTAAAACTTTTTAATTTTTTTGGTTTATCACCAAATACCAATTGAGGATTTCATCATAAAATTAAGTTTTTTTCTTTGGAAATTTTAACAATATTTTTTACATATCACTAGTATACCTATTATATACATGTGTATATAAGCAAAAATGTTGTTTCAATAGCATTGTTTTTACTCATTCATTTTTTCATTTCTTTTTTGCATGCGTTTCTTATTAATTCTTTTTTCTTCACTCTCTACGTCGAGCTTTTACAGTCGCTACGCTTGCTCAAGTTGAATGCCATTTGCAGACAATGTCCTTGAGCCATTGTCGCGCAATATTATTTATGTCAATTGACGAACTGAAAATCCACTAAAGTGTGATAACAACAACAACAATTGCTAGTGGTGAAAACACTTGTATGAATTGTTGTTACTCCTATTACTCACTAGGTGAGTATGTGCATATGCATGTAGGTATGCATGTGCTAGCATTCTTTGCCCACTTTCGTAAGAATTGTGTTGCCTTGTTTTGACCTTTCGCAGCTGCGCTGATATCGTAGACGGCAGACTACCATAAATAAATAAACGTAGGTCCTCATCTATCAAAATGTTGTTGTTAAGATTTTGTTTTGCCCCAAAGGAATTGGCGAGGTGTGCAGTTGTATGTTTATATTTATATTTTTATATGCAAAATTACAACCTACACGCAAGCGAGAAGCTGAGCAATCGTTTTCATACTAAATGCACATATACATACATATGTATGTATGTACATAGGTAGCTGTGGTCTGCCTTGCCGCATTTATTGCTAAAAATATATATTTATTTATACTTTTTGCATATGCGTTAACATTGAAATCATAGCCACAAGCCATAGCAGGTTGACGCTGTAATGGACATGACGATATATTATATTAGGCGTAGTAAAAAGAAATCCATTCTTTTTCCCATAGATGGCGTTATTTATCTATATCTCGCGTTGTATAAGTCCGATCGGACCGCTAGATAGCGTTAGAAAGATGACATTTCGTACTAAAAAAGCTTTTCTGACAGTTTTGTGATCGGTTGATTCAGTTTGGTTTGAGCGGGCGTCAAATATGGACTAGCAAAAAGAAAATACGCTATATTTTACAGGTTTTTCCGATTAGGGTGGAAACGTAAGCCAGGTGGCTGAAAATGTGAATAGCGTTCGTGGTTCTGATACTGTTACAGTCAATTATGCACTATTTGGGTTTAATTTTTTTTTTTATGTAAATGATGCTTTACGAAGTGGACGGCCAATTGTCGAAAATGTCGATAAATTCATGGATTGCCCAAGAGCTAAATGTTGCACAAAAAACCATTTGGAGCATTGTGAATAAAGCTGGATACGAAAAGAGAAAATTAAAGCCTTCAATTTCATGCAAAAACGCTCATCTCAATCTCTAGTACAGTTTTCATATTTTCCATAAAAGTATTTTATTCCAGTAACTCTACCCACTGCAGAAACTGGCTTTTGCTAAAAAGTAATGACAATGAAAAACAAGATAGAAGAGCTGTCTTCGGCCAAGTCGAAGTCTTTATGCATTTTATAACCATATTTATATTCCGTAATGTCAAATCTGAATAATCGGTCATATATATATGTATGTATGTATATGCAATAGTTACCCGCTCGTTTAAATACACAGATAAACCAAGTTCGCTTGAGGGGGACTACTTTGCATACAAAGAGATGGGCACACGGGCATAGCTGAATCATCTGAACTCATTTCTGATCTTTTCGGTATAAATTTTGATGGGTCTATCTCTATCTATCTATCCAATGCATTAAAAAATAATTACCTATGATACCCATAGCTTCAAATAATTTACCCATATGGTCTTATACTGAAAGTGAACCATATTTCCAATAAAGGCCAAATTACCTACTCCCGACGTTGCAACTGTTGAAATGAGATGCTTGGGATCTATTATCCGTTATTTTGCTCTGCCATCGTATTCAAATTTGGTATATTTGAGCTAATCCGTAAATGGCAAGCTTTTACAGAACTCTTGATTCGATGCCTTTTTGCGAATTTCAAACGAAATGCAAGGGTTTTCTCGCTTATGAGAGTCTTCTGCTGCGCTGTGGATCCTTCGCTGTTAAGAGTCCTTGTTTATTGTACGTGGATACACAACAATTTCGGATCGGATCAGCTATGGATCGATTGGAGTTGCATTTTTTTAATGATGAAAAACGATGAAAATAAAGCCAAATATGTAAATAGAAGATTTCCTGTATAAGTACATAAAACAAAAAGCCGATTTGAAAACAAATTTAATTCGCACAGCTGCATTGAGTCTACCAGCTTGCCTAAGGACCGTTTGTTGCAGTCTGGTATACAGTATATAAAGTGTCATTGAGCTGTTCATAGGGTAGTAAAAAGTGAACACAAAATTTTTCTTCCTACCGGCATATTCATAACTGCCAAGTTCGAGTAAAAGTAAAATTAATTATTTACAAAAGCAAATTTAACGCATTTAAACACATTCCCTTATCACATTGAAGTGTAAGCAAATAATTGAAGCAGATATCTCCCCCTTATTTCGATACATACCTGTTTATCTTGCATATTGTTCTGTGCAACTTCTATATTAAATTGCATTAAAATTTTTTTCTCTCTCTTTTCACACAGGCACTGCAACGGAAGAGGAAAAAGTGAATTTGTCACATTTCAAACTGATACGTGTACTTGGAACTGGGGGTAAGTTATTACTTGTGCTCGATATTAGTATTTTGTATGTATATTTACTATGTAATGTTGCATTATATGTGTGTAGAACTGAACTCGTAAAGGCGTGAAGTTTAATAGATCAATACAGGTGGCGGTCAATAAAACAGAAATTCAAATCAAACGTACTTGCCCAACTGCAAGTTGTGAATAATAATTAATTTCCTTTTTATATTTTTTAAAACCTTTTTTTTATTTCAAAGAAACTGTAACTCCTTAAGGGGTTACATGAGTCCATTCAAGGGAAAAAAGTTCTATTTGCAAGAGTAAAAAATAAAATATTTTATTCAAACTATGTAATGCCTTGAAGATATAAATTTGATAAAGAATTTCTGAAATTTTCAAAAGAACATACTCATAACTCCGCTATTGTGACGTCATCTCTGGCGATACCTCTCAAAAGTGTATGTCGGCGTAGGCTGTTAATACCAAGGCTGCATCGCAAGGATACATTTTAGTTAATTTTTCTGCCAGCAAAACTAAATGATAACGATGGTTTTTTGAACATCTCTGGTTAATACCATAAACTAGAATTTGGAGGAAAAAAAATAAAAAACAACGTGAAAATTTATTTTTTTTTTTTTCAAAGAAATTTGCTCAACATATTTATTTTAAGAGTCTTGATTGAAAAATGTGATTCTTCCAATTCCTAGTAAGGTGTATCTCGAAGACCTGTGTAAAGTTTCGTCAAGATCTGTTGAGTCGTTTTCAAGAAGTTTTGACAACCAACTTTGCAAACACAGCTTCGAGAAAACCTTTGACGGTGCACTCTTCCAAGCCTATATCTCTAAAAAATTTTATTGGGATCGACTTGAATATTTAGCATAATATTATCGACATTTTGTAGAAATTAATCGGAAAATAATAACCATAAAGCTACCCATATAGCCCCTCAAAACTCGAAACTAGTGATCCAGTGCTCTGTTGCGCTAAGGTAATTTCATCACTAGGTGCAGTACCTGTAATATAATAATTATCAAGTTTTTGACTATGGGTACCAATTTCACAGTGACTAGTCAGAGTCGCGCAGGTCAAGGTATTTGCACAGCGCTCGCTAAGTTGACGTCAGATCCTCCTGTCCGTGATTTTTCCTGGCTCTATTCATCGGTGAAAAGTTCACTGCTTTCGCCTCCAGACGCACATTCGACCCATTCACCCATACAGGAAGTGAACACAACGAGCTGTTCGTTATGAGTTTTTTTTGTATTCATGCCTAAGACGACGTGGGGCTAATTGTACGTTTTTTTTTTACAGGGCTATCGCTATATTTAGCATCATTTTGGGCCCAAGTGTGGGAGTAAATAGCAGAGCCTCACTGATACCGTTGAGGGCACATATTCTAGCTTCCTAAGTCAATTTGGTTTCTTCAGTGAATTTCACCAGACAAACATCCTATGAAGCATGATAGCCTTAACTATGCTTTAAAAAGTTAGTTCACTACTTTAGACGTTAAACCCAATCGCTTTTCAGTTTAGACAGCTCCAAAGGAGTTTTTTTTAAGAGATTGACTCCTAGGTATTTGACTTTGTCGGCTAGTTTGTTTCTTCGAGCTTTTCTGAAAAGCCGTTTTTTTTTTTAACAAAAAAAATACTTCTCTTATTCTGCTCAATACAAATTTTTATAATGCTCTAAATATCTAAATCAAACTATTTTTTGTAGTAATTAAAATCTGACGCCAAAAAAGAAAGGTTTTTGAAATTTTTAAATTAAACCTCACATGCCTAACTTACTGAAAATATTCAAAATCGGGCTGATATTTCTATGTAGTGAGTCATTACTGTATATACAAACTTGGGGTTGCCCATGTTTCCGGTATGTTTTTTGAGGGCACTCGACTTCACATATATGTATAATGCTATGTTAACTTAGTTTATTGTTGTTTTTGTTTTTGTAACATTTGAGTATATACATATTTATATTGTATAACAACTTGGTGTTTCTTTACTTATCCTTATTTATTGCATTTTTTTTTTCTTTTTTCAGCCTATGGCAAAGTGTTTCTGGTGCGTAAGATTGGTGGTGATGATGACATGACATTATATGCCATGAAGGTGTTAAAGAAGGATACTGTGGTGCAAAAGAAGAAGACAGCCGAACATACCACAACCGAACGACAAGTGAGTGTATTGTACCTGTGTAGTAGTATTTATGTGTAAAATGTTATAATAAAAATATTAGGTATAGCATTTAATAACTAAAAAAAAAGTATATATTCTAAAAAACGATTCTACAAAAATGAAAATGGTTTAGAATATATTTAAATTTACAGAATAAGCAATTTTTCAATTAAAAGTGGCAATATTTTTAATCGATAAATTACATGTGTATGTACTCACATATATAGTCTGCATATAATATAAGGATTGAGCGATTTTCGCCCGGTCTTCTCCTCCAATTCATTCTATGTAACTACATGATAAGACCTCCTTCGAGCGGCTGATTGATTTTTAGTGGAAACTCCTCACTTTCTCATTTTGTTTTAGAAAGTATTCTGACAAGCCTTTCAATTTACCCGAGTACATACTTTCTTCAAAATTTCGCTCATTCTACAATAATTGCATATATGTATATGTAAATACATATGTAGTATATGTATATATTTGCTTAATTTTTTTTTGTCCATAACTCCATCATACATACATATTTTTACGGTATTTTGTGCCCAATTTTACGTTTCTTTTTTTTTAATTTTTGGTATTTTTTTTCTTTTTCATTAAAGTATTTCATGAAACCACTGCTCGTGCATTGATGTTTTTATTTTGTTTATTGCCTTGTTGGCTGGTGATACCAGTTATGCCAACAAGTATTTTTCCCCATTTCAGTTACTTACACGATCTTCCTTTCTCTTGGGTATTCTTGTATTATTTAAGCTTTACTTACTCTGGCTTCTTTTATTTTCTTGGTTGTTGATTTTGCTTTGCTTGCCATGCTTTTGTGCTTTTCACTACTTTGATTTTGTAGACGCTCTTTTTACGCACTTTTTTTTTTTTTAATTTTATTTTATATTTTATTTTGTGTTGTCTTTGGATTCCGGTTGAGTTATTTTGAGTCCCGTTACCTTTTACCGGTATTTATGATAATTGAACGTAAAAGTGTGCCTCACTATTTCAACACACTCGTGCATGTATACAGCGCTTGAGGACGTCAGAGGTACGAAGCTTGATTTCTTCACTATATACACGTATATACATCAATGTGTGAATGTATATATGGGAGTGTGTCATGACGCTTCTTATTATGGTCTTTGTTTTTGGTCAAGTGAATTCATACATTAAATGCCAGCTGGTGGATAAAAGTGTTGCCAAACCATTTTCCATGTATGAAGGAATGAAAGAAATGCTTTGAGAACGACCTCATGGTGTTGAAGGCAGAGAGGCTCAGGATCAGACCGCAAGCGGCTGCACCTAGGCCGTCGTCAAGTTGCTACTGGCTTTATAAATGCTAAATATATTTATGCATTTGGCTGCGCTAACGTTTCAAATAACTTCTGAATAGATGATAAAAAAATATTGTGAAAATACCCTCTTCTATAAATGAAATACTTTGTCATTAAAATTATATTGTGGTTCAAATCAATTCGATCCGTTCCCAAGTGGTAGCTTCACCTGCAAGTTGTAGCCGAATTTGGAGGGATGGCAAGGTTTCACATCTGTCAACAATTATTAGTGTTGCATCAGCGTCTGTTTATGACAAAAAGATTGTTTTTGGCCTCTTTAAAAATGTCGGGATTTTTGTTAAATAATAATAATCATAAACAGCATTTCCAAGAAGTTTTGATTTTACGATTTTAATTGTAAGAAAGTGCACTTGAAGAGCATCGAATGCTTGTAGAAGTTTATGGTAAATCAATAATCAATCGATAGGTCATGCAGAAAGTGGGTTTAACGCTACAAAAGTGATGATTTTAGCGTCGAAGACAAAGAGCGTTCTAGCCAATCCAAAAAGTTTGAGGATAAGGATTAAGAAGATCCTTGCCAACCAGGCGAAACCAATGATGCGATACGTTATCGACTACAACTGTTTCGTTTTATTTGCTTGAAAAAACGGCTAAAAACAACCGAAAGGCATGAAAAAGTGATTTTTCCGCCTGCAGGTTAGAGGTTCAAGAATTGACCCGTGGTAAGGCATGCCGGTCGTAAGAGGCGTCTAAAATCCAATAGTTCTCGCGACAGTCTGGTCTTTATACCGGAACGACCCGAATTTTTATCCGGTCAAGGACTGTCACTCCTGCAACCTTCCCCAAAAAGTACTTTGGGAAATATTTTTGAGGTTACAACAACAACAACAAAGTGATTTTGAAATATAATAACGCTCGACCTAACTTGACTGCATTGCTAAAAAAAAACTACCTGGAAACGATGAAATGGGAAGTATTACTCCGACCTTTGACTTTGAGATTTCCTGTCGAAACAGACACCCTGAAGAAAAGTAAATGAAAGTAAAACATATTTAAATATTTTTTATTTTCAATACGAAGCTTACTTATTTCATTCCACTTTGAGATAGATTTAAAGATTCTCCTAAATGTAGGCAGTGATTTATCCTTATCGGCAGAGTATGAGTAATCGTTGCCTACAATTACGCTCTTTTCTAATTTGATATAACTAGTAATGTATGCCTGTTTTTTTTCACTGAATATTCTAAATAATGATATAAATTAAAGTAATATACAATTTCGCACTGATTTTAAATTTTATATACATAAGTATGTTTTTCTAAAATCTTTTGATGTTGAGTTTATAGCTTTAAAGGTTACTTACTATATGATAAATACGTACATACACATGCACATATAGTATTTAAGCATTGAAACGAAGTTCTGATAGGCATCATTCCAAGTTGACCCACATTTCGGCGAGTTTTACCGCTGGCAGCCATATTTATATGTATGTATTTTTTGTACATACACATAACCAATTAAAGCCAACACAAGCATAGCTTCGAGTGCCGGCATTATCAACCAGTTACAACAGTAACAAAATATAAATGAAATTAAAAAAAAAACTAAAAAAAAATAGAAAGAAAAATATATAATCAACAAAAAAATTGCTCGCCTATACATATGCACGTATGTATTTATTTATATACTTAGTCTGGAAGCTTACATAAATACATATATATATTTGTATATAGGTATGTACATGATTGAACAGTTACCAAGCAAATGAAGTTAACAAACAATCAGTTAGCACATTGAAGCTACGAATCGAGTTTAAAAGAAAGAAACAATACATAAAAAAAGCGCTCAAAGCAAAAGTTGAAACAAATATTATATGATGAAATTTTTGCAACGTACATGTGTTAGTGCTACTTGTAGATCTGTGAGAGGTTTACTTTTTTCCCCAAGTCTTTGATTTGCATTACTTTTTGTGCTTGTTAAATTTGTTGATGTGTTGGCGCTTGCAAGTGCACGCTTCAGCTTTTGATTAAAAAAATATATATCTGTACATATGTACATGCATACATTTACTTTATGACAGAATTTATTGCCACTGCTGTCTGCGATAATGCACTAATTTTGAGTTTTAGTAAATAATTATTTGTATACATATATATAAGGATTTATATATACACGTACAAGTACAATATCCCAAAATTACCACTAAATAATTTTTACTCGTTATTCATATCAATTCTTTTAGATTAGATGAGCGCAATACATACACATAGTTTTTTTTTTCTCAAAATATTTCACTTTTATTTGCAATATTTTCAAATAGGTTTCATCGTTTGGTTTTTTTCTTAGTCGCCAGTGCCCAGTGCATAGAAAACGCTAGCTTCCAAGGTCAACATAATGGAGGTCTCTCAGAAGTATACGCGGCAATTTTTTATGACAACACTGAAACAATTTGATTTTTTTTATGAATAACATCTCTGATACGTAAAAACGTAAGCTTCTGAGCTCTCTCGATGATGGGTACCGAAATGTCTCGGTGCTTTCATTTTGACGCTCGGCTTCTTTAGAGTTATTCGTCTTCGCTATTACTAAGAATCTTATGAAATTTTCAAATATATTTTTTCGGTCATTTAGGTCAGGTTCGTCCTAAAAAAACGTGTTTTTTTACCAAATTTTATTTCTTTAAAAAAAATAATATTTATAAATCAAAGTTTTAGTAAATAAGTAGATGTATAAAAATATTAATTGAAAATTTTGTTTTAAATGACAGCTCTTAAAATTGCTGCCTTTGTTGGTGCGTGATACGATAACTGTAAAGCGAATGATCTGAAAGCCAAAATCAAAACGGTTTCTTAATCTTTTTATTTTTTTACCCTTTTTTCAATTTTAATAGTTTATAAATTTTTTTAGCTAACATCATATATTTTTTTTGGGTGTAGTACCGGCTATAGAGAGACATTTTAGGAGAGAAATGTCGTTTAGTTTATATGTTCAATAGGTTCTAAATGAGAGTGTCACTCAGTTGAAAAAACGTGGTTTCGAGAAAAAGGCTATTAAATACTCTAGCGGCCGGATTTACCGCTTAGCGCGCACCGGTTTCCCCTCTTCTATATTTACTTCTTGATCTTGCGGACCTGCGGGACTAATTCTATATTATTTTCAAGAGAATTTTCTTGCAATTTACATGAAAATAAATTTCGATTTTATGAAATCTCTTTAGAGGAACTTGACCGTATGGCAAATTCGCAGGAATTTTACGTAATTAGTAAACAATACATTTGCTTGAAACAAATCTTCACCACTTCCTAATTTTAATGGTAAAAAAAACACACACACGGAGGAATTGAAATAAGTATAAATAAATCAGCCATGTATATCATGTGGTAAATATGTAAATGTTATTTCAATAATATGGCACATGATTTGTTCTTATTTCCGTCTGTCCGTTGCGTTCTATTTACACACTAACCTAGATTTACTCTGTTGGCTTTTACACCGGCACTTTGCCGGGAATTTCGTTAAAACCAATGCAAGACCGCAAAACTACATAAATACATACATATGTATGTATGTATGCATGCATATTGGGTGGCAAATGTTTACCGATGGCATTTCGTATAACCTCCCACACGTTGTCTTACAAACACATATTTATGTACATACTCATACATACATGCACTTTTACTACATACAATACATATGAATATGTTGTACATATAT